GGTTTAGAATGCGAGGCACCGTACAAACCTTGTTCATAAGAATTCACATAAGAAGTTATTTGTATGGTCAGCTCCGTCTGATCCTTGCTCCTTCCTTGCTCAACATGACCTAACAAGTTCGACCCTGTTATCGTACATCAGGAGACATCAAATGCACAACCAATCAGCCCTCGTCGCCTTGACCTATGGCTTGACCCCGGACGATCAGATGCTTCACTCCGTCTTCAATCACACGTATTTGTTTTTGTAAAACCTGGGTGGACATTTCTTGCTTATGCCATAATTTCCAGGAAAAGAACATCCTGCGGGGGAGAATGACCAAACACACAGGTGGGTTTGAAATAAATCTGTTATTTGGAGCGCGAAATCCGATATTTCCTTTGTTGTGAATAGGGTTTGCGACCTCTCATTCTTAATTCAAAACCAAACTATTGCTAGGACAGAACGTATGCCGAAAATAGTGTGAACGTAAAAATCATGGGATGGGAAAACGGAATCCGGAGAACCAGATTCATTCAAAAAGGAAGCTACTCACAAGGTTGCTGAAAACTCATCGACAGCCCAAGACCGATTTCGCCTTTCTTGGGGCTCTTCAGGTAGGCGCAGTTCCCGGGTTTCCTTCAATCCTATGTTCTACTTGAACCCAAATTTGACTGATTGCGACAAATACACTCATTTGCAAATCATTTTGGTTTCCACTGGAGAATCAAGCGAATCTCTCGTTTATGACGTTCTTCAGCTGAATGTGCTGCACACGAAAAAGACAACTCAGCTTCCGCCTTTTCCTGTTGAACTGGGTGAATGACTGCCAGGAATCATCTCTAAAAAGCATTGACCCTGCTGAGTGACTTGTTGGTCTGATCACCAAGGTGTCTACATGTCGAGATTCTATCAGAAATGTTTTGTTTCTCCTTAGATGCTACAAATTACCTGACACCACGTCTCTTCATCCATAGTACTGATCTTCGCTTTAATTCCACTTGGCCATTAATACTTTGTTTCCAAGTGTCCGTGAACAGTTAGTTAATTTTGCTTATTTCCTCGATGAATTTCCAAGTGTTGGATTAGTTTTGTCCCTTATCTGATTCTACCCAGTAAATTGCCGGCTTCCTTACAATTTATGTCAGTAAGGATGCTAAGCCAACTCCAGTTGCGTAGTTTACTCTTATCTAGCTCGCAAATCCCGGATTGTCATTCCTTTTCTATATCTGTGCTTGTAGTGCCCTATTTATCACATATGGGTTCATACCGCATCGTCACAGTTCACAAGAACCTGATATCCTGGGAAAACTGAAGATTTTCAGCGTTCAGTTGCATCTTAGTTGCGAATCTGTTCGGTTTGTTTTCGAAGGTCGCTGACTTTCTACGCATAATGTAAATATTTATACCATCCTAACCAAAGGTTTATCTTTGTTGCTGAATCCAACATACGGGGAATGTTTCGCGTGTGAATAAAGATGTCCACACACTCGCAAGACACCTAGATTGCGACTGGTGGGTTATATTACAGTAAAAAAGAGGCAAACGATCGTGAAGTTTTGTGCTTACGGTCGACGTTGTTCATAACCAATCGAGTGTTTAAAATGTTTAACAAGTTATCCCTTCCAGACCATTGTGTCGGAATGAAGGTCCATCAATACAAGTATCCAGCTCTTTTATTGGACACACTCATGAACACGTTTCAGACACCGCCCGTTGCGTACACTCATGATTTAACAATGGTTTTACTCCAAATTATGTGTTAGTCCGTGTATTCATGTATCATGTGTGAATGGTTTTCACCGGAGCTAGAGAAGCGCACGTAATCGAATGTGCACCAATTTCCCCTAGACATAGAAAGAAAGGTATACCCATACTAGTAGTGTCCCGGGTGAGAGACAAACACCAGCACGTACTGCATGGTTAACCCAGACAGATGCATCGATCGCACGCACTAGCCAAGACGCACACATTCATTCACATTTATGCAAAGGTGTACCCAGCTTACTTGATTTTATAATCAAAACCAAAAGGCTGTATTGTGGATGATCCGATCACGCTTTGACGACAAATGATAGGCATGATTTATTACTTACTACTGTTCTCGTTCGGGTGATACGCAGGAGCTGTGCACTTCAGCGTGCAGGCTTCTTACTAGTACCTGTTAGTAGTAGTGTCTATTTGATGAGGCGGCAAATTACACGCTGTTCCATCATACGGACACATGAGTTACTTCGTCCTAATCCCTCACTACCAACGAGTTTTATTCTTGGAGGATTTTTCCCCTGAGAGAGTCAAAACCACTCAGTCTACTGATTGCATAATTTTGATCAATGCTATACTGATTGATGAGATGTGCCCAGCTGTTGTTAACTCATTCTAGAATTCTGAGAAACGGATAAGGGAAGCTGATGACCTGCCACTTACTTTACTCGAGGTGTCCGGTACCGGAATTTTAGTACACCTCGCACCGTTGTCCGTCGGGTGAGACCACTTTTGAGGATTTCATACGGGCTCATTCTTGTACGCCGAAATCCCATGAGGATGGAAAAACCCCGTATTTCCCTTACCACAGAGTAGTTTACATTTCCAAATGCGCTAGAATACAATCGAGTGGAACACAACCTTAACATCGGTTGAACTTAGTAATTGGTCTTCTTCATGGCAGTAACCACGACATTTCCGTGAAAACAGTTTAGCAATGCTTCTTTGCACACAGCAGCATGTCACACAGTGTCCAAGTATAACTCATATGGCCCATCCTATAGGTATTTTCTTTAAATTAGTCCATAGCTGTGTCCGCATGGCTCGCTCTGGACACAGGGTACCCAAGTTTTTTCTTGCAACGACAATCGTTGTGTCTCCTCTTACGTTGCCTATAAATTTACATACTAGAAAATTGTTCCCCTTCGTTGAGACATTCTCACTTCAGAACTGGCCTTTTTGCCGAAAAATTGTCGTCTCAAAGCCAAAATATTATTTCTGGTTGCGAATATCTACATATAGCATTACCCAACCTAATCTGCCACATCTTGAACAGGTTTCTTCATGAATAATGGTGAACATCAAAATGAGCTAGTTTCCATCTTGATGAACCGATTTAGACGAAGTTGTGCTTCAGCTCATATCTTAGGATACGCCCAATCTGGAAATGCTGGTTTGCCCTTCAAATAGGTTTGCTCCCACCAGGAGGACTTGGTTAGCCAAAGAAGGGTGAAAACCTCAATCGTTGTTCCGGGGAACAACAAATTAAAGGCGTGTCACACACTGTCGTGGAATAAGCTGTTTTGTTTTTAGATCATATTTAAATCGATGCGTTTTAAATCTTACGAGCTGGATGATCTCTTGATAGATCAACTAGATGATCCGATGTAGCGCAATGTTCTGTCTGGCGGATGTGCAGTAGGCGACTGGATAAAACTACTGTGTTCTGAGATGGCGGGGTTTTTTAGGTACTAATCTGGTATGGTACTTCTTGAGGTGCGTCCTCCCGGACGTGGTGAGGCTTGGTCTAACAAATACGTAGCTTTGTAGTATTTCAACATAGGTTCTTTTAGGGGATAGTACGTTGCTGTATGACACGTATTAAGCGAACTGGAAAGCTGGTTGTAACTTAATGGTTGCCATATTGAAGAATTGGTAAGGAGGGCGTAAATTGTGGGTCTACGCTTTTCCATGATGAGCATTTTGTTAGGTTTGGTGCAGATAAATTAAGGTTACAATAATACCAGGTAGAGTACCTCCGCAAAAACTCGAACTTTGATTCAATAAATGACTCGCCAAAATAAGTCATTCAATTTTTAGTTTTTGCGGTTTGACGTTTTATACATTCCAGTCTTCCGCTGTCCTGAGTCGGTATGCGAAACTGTTTGAAGGTGCTGACTTCAGTAGCCAATGGCTTTAAGGCCAGCAAACGTCATGCACAGACCTTCAGCAAGCTTAAACTATTGGTCTTTCTTGTTGCCTTTGAAGTTTTAGTCCTTTACAATTCAGGGAGAAGCACTCTAGTTCTTGGAGAATTGCACATACTTGGTGGCTGTATCACCTCCGACGGATGAGGTGAGACGCTTGGAAAAAGCTTCCATGCTTGGAAAAAGCACGCAATATGTCGGTACAATATTTCTCCATAATCTACTCATTTCTTTGTGTTTTTTACCTTCAAAACCTTAAATACAATGAAACAAACTCTGTGGTTGTATGAAATTAGAATATCAGTGTCAGCGCTCATATGACTCTCTCTGACGCTGCCGGCCTTTCTTCGAGAACAGGAAATTACCCGATGCGGAAACTTTAGAAAGTGCCTTTTTGCTTTATTGAAAAAGACTCAGGATGGGCAGTGAGTCTTTGATTCCACTGGTTTCAGTGAGAAATTGACCATGAACGATAAAGTGGGGGTTGAAAATCAGGAAAATTGATATCTGAAATCAGCGTTCTTTGATTACTCCATTCCCATTAGCTCACGTGCAGTTGTCCGAGGAGATCAGCATTGCAGATGGCCACATTTTGGCACGTCGGTAAGATGTTTTGCCAAAAAGGAATTTCAGCAAATACCCAAGAGTAGGGAATCGTGGACCCATCGCAAAGTGGGTTATGAAGAGCGGCTGAAGCATACAGTGTGCCTCATTCGATAGACCTTGAAGTCCTCAGACGCACTGCGTGGCTCTCAGTGAGTCTGTAGTGAGGTGGTCAGACAAAGTACACGATCAGATATCCTTTCGATTCTCAGAATTTCATGCATATGCCATTGTTTGAGCGATTCATGTGCATTTCGACGAATAGTATATTTCATCGTTTCATAACTTGTAAAACGGGGGTGGCTGACTAAATGCTGTGTGTGCAAAACCGTCTATACTTTATACTGTTTGGGATACTAAAACTAACCTCAGCCAAACTTTGTGGACATAAAGATTGGCTGACATCCATCCTTCTTCAGTTCAGCAACTGCGAATTTAATTTCATTCCCAAATCCAATAGGTCAAGCTTAAAAAATGCACGACAACAATCAACCTGGTCGAACTTACCGACTTGGCGGCCGGCCGCCCTTCGTTCGGCCTCAGTCTCAATCACGGTTTCATGCAGATGCCAGGGCTTTTCACACGCAGCGCAGACGAACGCTGAGGTGAACGCAGAACATCCACAACCCTTCGCTTTACACTGAAACGGCGGGGGATGAACCTCGTGTTGTTCGTGAGTGTGTTTACATTTGCACTTGACTCGGTAGGCAGCACGGTCGAAATCACGACGTTTGACGAGCCAGTACTCGCCAACTTCTTCGGGTCTGCTGGGCACGAATTTGAAAGCCTGACAGGCACAACCTCTCTGTGAAAATGTATTAAGCAGATGGTGCCGGATGAAAAAAACAGAATTAACTATGCTTGGTGCAGCAAAGAAGCTTTCTTTTACGCCAGTTTGAGCTATTCACGAAGGCACTGTATCGTCCTGCTTAAAGCACTCACCATAGCTTAAATATGGAACATTATTGTTACGCTATCTGTTGAACTATTTTTAAACCGGCTGGCTTTTTCATGCTTGACGTGATCGGCTCACCGGACGGCCCTAAAGACGATCCAATAAATGTCTTGTTTTGTCAATCTATTAAACTTCACGTCAACTATCCGGAGTTAAACCCCGACGCGGCCGATGGTATGCATTGCTGATGGGCTCTACTGAGGCGATACTGCATTGAAGTGCTTCCCTTTTCTGTTATAGACTAGCCAGAATAATTGTGCCAGGATAGGAGGATGACTCTTCAACCACCTACAACTAATTCAGGACACTGCACTGGGCTGGAAAATATTAACTATTTTGCTCAACTCTGAACCCCGGCTGGAATGCATGGGGTCACATTGTCCTGAAAACAACTTGTTAACTATGCTAACAATTCAAATGTCAGACTTCAACTAGGCGGTTACACAGATGAAATCATCTGAAATGACACTCGGTCATCGTATATGCTCACCTGCAAAGAATTCCGTCTAGCAGTAGTAAGTCTGGCTGCATTTTGACCACTGCTTAATCACAACGATCCAAATAAGCCTAACTTAATGCATTTCAGTTTGCACTTATCTGCTTTGGAGTGGCTCTAAGTAGCTCAGTATTTGTCATGATAACTTCAAGGGAAAAAATAAACCTGAAAAGCTGAGACAAAACGCTAGTGTGTGTTTTGAGACCGCTGCACTTATGAGAAGATGATGCATATTCGTTCTTCGGTATTCTCCGAAATTCATTGTGCATCCTGTCCAGGAAGGTTTCGTGCGATCAGACTGTTTTGGAAGTGCGACATAATCTGCACATGGGCTAACTCAAACAGCCACAGATGGCTAAGTGAACAGGCTCATGCAATCCTGTTGGACAATTCACATTAGGACACCAAATGAAAATCTACAGATGCCGGCCACCATTCTGATACCTTATGCACAAGTTTCACGAAAAACATGGCACCAACCTTAAACTGTAAAGGCGGACAGAATGAACATGTATTGACCGATAACATTTCGTGAAGTTCCCTTTCCCAGTGGTGGCGCCAGCATTGTCAGCAACGTGAGCTCTGTATGCCAAACCTCTGATGCACTCTAACATAGTGAGTTTGTTATGGGAGGCAAGCCTTCATAAAAAACAAAAGTGAATCACGGAACCGTAAAAAGGGATTTTGGAATGGCTCCAAAAGGCTATCATCGTTTTTTCGAGCCCCACTCTGAGTCCACAATTTTATGAAATACTCTTTGGTAGTTCCGTAAAAGTTACCATGGATTTGGTGAAAGAGAGGTAACACGAAATCCAGATATGGTAGGTTATAGATTGAAGTTTGCACACCAGTTAGGCATTAAAATAAAGTCTGACGTGATACACATGGTTTTCCTGGCATTTAACTTATTCCATTTATGAATAACCGGCACCCCGTTTATGCATGTAGTTCCGATTGGCTAGACCGTTGCAGAAGAAATTCATCGGTTGTACTAAAATACACCATTTTACGAGTATTGGTTATTTCCTTTTACTGTTCCAATATTCTCGCCACAGATAATCCAAGGTTTCCCTCTGTTCACCCAGTCATCGGACCAGAACTGAACTCGGGGACTGTCATACGTTTCTATACTGGAATCGTGAAGTTTGCACGTGGTGGTTTAAAAGTGGGTCAAAAACAATTTGGCTCAAAACTAAACCAAAATGTATTCCATGGGCCTGGCTACAGAGGGCCAAGTGAACTTCTATCACGCGATCGAAGTACCCCATGATGTGTACTTAATATGGGCTTGGGGCATTTGACATACGCCTCAGAAACTTCAGGGAAACATCAATCTGTTGATTAATATCATGTGCATATGCTTGTCGCGTGCGTGGTCACTTTTTATGTAGCCAGTGAAGTCGCAATATTCGCGTGCACGTCGAAATTTAAGTTTCTTTTACTCTCTGGGAACAAGTAGTTTAATTTTCCCTGACCCGACTTCGTTTGCTGGCGCATCGGTCCTGAGGTGACCAAGTAAAGTTTGTCTTTTGCCTTTAGACTACCCACAATATTACAGTGGCATGCAGCCAGAAAAAATAGCCGTCAGCGACGTGTGGAGGATGCAAATCATGAAGTTCCATTTCAACGCACAGGTTGCCTCTGACAACATGTTAAATAGGCTACATGGTGCCACTTTTTCCAAAAGTCAGCAACTGCGTTGGGTATGGTACCCTCTGCAAATCGTGTCCAATGCGATAGATCTCTTGCATGCTCATTCAACGAAACCGAACGTTCGAAACGTTGGAGTCGAAACGAATGAATATCATCAACTGCCATCCTACACACTTACGGAAAGGCCTGCTACAAGATAGTGGTCATTTACTGCACTCATTTTATGAGCAAATATCACACCACTTTATAAATCATATCTTGAGTTCTTAGAGAAGGCACTTCCCAACTTGTGCACGTTTTTCAGCTCCTTGACTCACCCCATTTAGTCCGTTCTCTGAGCATTCATGAGAAATTGTGGTCAAAATTCAAACGCTATTCCCTGATAGGACCTCGCAAATAACGGGACACAAGGTGAAAATGTATGCACTACTCTGGGTCTTGGAAATAGTTTGCATAAACATAGTTCGGCGTGAGAATCTATGAATTTTTAATTGAAACTAGTGCTAAGAAGGATACAGGTCAAAATAATAAGCATGAAACTTCAGATGAACTGAGCATTCATATGTCAAGTGCAGCTGATATCATGAAGACCGTCGTTATTCACTTTCAACGGAAGCATGTTCTTGGTTTATTTTGCAAAAATCGGTCGGTCGTACTACCTTAGAAATCTGGTGGAAGCACATGAAATCACGAAATAATAACGCTTCGGAGAAACCTGCTGATCTAAGAAACTTCTGCACCTTTGCTGAACGCTAGATGAAAGTGTAGATAGAAGCTGTCGGGCTGAAAGTGTTATTGTCTGAGTTGCCAGTTGTGTTCTCAGAGTTGTCTATTCAGCAGCTTGCTTAACAGTATAGAGAGAGTTTAAAATTCTAGGCCCAAAACTCACTTCTTCACACCCGAGGAATGGCCTTTTTCCGTCAAACCTTTGGTGCTGATTTAACAAGTGACCACAAAAGCAACGTGACTTTGAGCAAACACGTTGGCAATCTTGTTGATTCCATGGCTTTTCCGTCGGCCGCCACGCCACGTAGATGCCTGGAGAATTGAAAATTTAATGCGGATATTCAGTTCGGAATTTTTCCTAGTAGTTTAATTTAAGTGGATTTTTCAAGTGAAAGATTAGTATAACCAATCCTAGGTAGACGCACCTAGGTTTTGTAGCTGAGAATAAGCACGATTTATTGCACAAGCCAACCTGTTCTGACACACATGGGGATTACAAAATGAGCTCAGAAAGCACAAATCTGTGTTTGATTCCCCACAATCCATTGACGCACGCAAACCAACTGTGTCGTACTCAACCGTCCTTTAGAGGTAACTCTAAACTCCCCCTATAGATCTCCCTTGCTGTGTACTGATCAAGACATTTCAAGCCTTTCGGAATAACATTGTCATGTCCTTCTCATTAGCCGCTTCAAAAGTTGTTGATTTCCTATAGAAATTAAAGCATTTAAAACTTAATTTATCCCCACTTCTTTCAATATACTGTTGTTCCTGTTCACTTACCTTGTCCTATAAGATATTTGATTGGTGAATACGATGGTCAGGACGGACTTCAGGATTCTACCCACCAAGCCATGGGCTACATCAACAAAGTCACCCTACTCCGCACCTGTTCAAGGTTGTACAGCATTGTTTTCCTCTGCATATGATTATATGCTGGCCTGCGTTTCCTTGTATTTAACCGTAATTCAGTTCGCGCAAACTTTAAGGGCAACGACAGTTGAAATGGAGCTGTTCTGATTCGCGTCGCGCTACGCGCCGCGCAAAAAAGTCTGTTTGGTGAGGTTACATGTATTAGCATCTGTTTAGTTGTTTTCCCTAATTTGACGACCCTCACAAACTTTTCCGTCTTCTTTCCTTTGCGTACACCGTTTTGTTTTTCCAAAAGTTCGTTTAAATGTACTGATCTGACACATCGTTCGTCATGCAGGGTGACTTCTATAACTGTCTCCGATAACCCATTCCATTCTGCTATAAGTGACCGGATTAACCGGATTCGGGACCAGACAAATGGTTTCTACTGCTCCATCTGATGTTTACCGCAGTCCTGTTGTATGTGTCAATTTGGTGTAGCTGCTTTCGTATGCTTGGTAAAGCAGAACCTAGCAGAATAGGTTGCCAGAAGATCAGGTGGTAACAAAAATGTGTTCATAAGATGTGACCAAAGTGGTGCTTGAGAACAAACTGTGCACGATGCCGCATGAAGTGCTCGTTGCAGGGTTTTGAGTGTTACGGATTGACTACTTATGAGTAACGGGTGCAAAAAGTGTTTGTCGGGCACACAAAAGATGACCTGCAGAATATGTAAGTTACAAAATACCAACAGCGAAGCAATGAAAGGTCTGTTACGTTCACCGTTACCTTTTCCTAACCGAAACATGAAGGGACGTTGTGAAAATTTGTTGCTGACATACGAACATGAAAGTTCGTTAAATAATGAATGACCGCAATGAATTATTACCGCTACCTTACCGACAGTATATAACTTCCCAAAACGCGAGGGTTCTGATTATTCATCCTCAATGATCAATCACTTCTAATATTCGGGATGATACAAACTCCTTTTCATTCCGGTGGGAGCCACCACCATAACAAATCAAGGACTATCCAAGATTTGTTGAAAGACAGTTTCATACCTGAACTTACCGTAAATGTGGAGCAGTATTATCCCGTTTCTAGCTCATAGGCATAACACGCACTCCGTAGCACATTCATAAACAGCATACAGAGCTGAACACGTTTATCCGGATATCGATTATTGGGGAGAAACTTAATAATCGTTAGATTTCACATTGTCGCCTTATTCCATTAAGGTGGGTCGATGTCTCTCCCCACTCTTTCCAACCACGCAATTAAACATCAGTGGATCGTTTGATCGTCAGTTATCTGGTCGACCTGCCTTGTACATCCCGCTATCTATTAGGAAGAAACAAAATAACTGCTAAATTCACTTATTTCCTTCTACAAAGACGCTTTTAATGTCCGTACTCAAGCTGGTGAACAGATAATGCTCGCTGAAAACATACACTTCCTTGAAATCGATGCATTCTGTGTCTCCGAAACACGCATACAAGACCCAGATGATAAGAAGAGGCTTAGTTATTTCACATTTCACTTTTCGTGTACAGTGATCTAGGAGTAATGATTCGTAGAATATATGACGTGGGAGTTGCACTCAATCTCAGAGCTGGACCCGCTTCATTAGATTGTGTTCCAATGAATATCCACCTTTTCACCGTTCGACCATCCTTCTAATTGAGGCACAATCCTCTTGACGTAAAAAGACACCTGTCTGTAGTGTTAGCATATGCTCCAACGGACTACAGTTCTGCCGCTGAGAAGGATACTCTCTATCGAGAGCAATCGGAGATTTTTCGTCGAGCGAGAAGCACTGATAGCGTGCTCCTTGCGGGCGATAGGACTGTCCCTTCCGAGCTCCTTGGATTCGCATGTGGGCGATCGATTTGGAATCGATACTCACCGAATGGACAACGGGGAGAGAATTCCCCGGCTGTTTGTGGGGAGCTGTTTCTGACCAGCATGAAGTTTCAAAGTAAACGCTCGCACTACATAACCTGGCGGTACAAATCTACCGTGGATCCAGTTGGACCTTGTGGCCATCAGTCACCAAGGGGGAGCCACAGCTTAAGACTGCCAACTGATTCTGGAATGGCGACACTGTCTTAGCAACCAACAATGGTGGTCTTTCTTGATTTGCAAGCTGCCTTTGACTCTGTGGACCGTCAGGCACTATAGCCGTCTCTATTGAGCAAAGATGGCCTTTCTTAGGGTGCTTTACGTCCAGTCCCGAGGACATGTGAAGAAGGTCTGTGGGAAACTCCCGCTTGAGTACACTACATTAAACGGTGTCGGGCGATGCTGTCATTTTCATCTTTCCTTTTTAACTTCGTCGCTGCTGGAGTCTACTCCTGTGGGTTCCAAATGCTCCCAGGGCATTCGCACACAGACATCGTGCACGCGGACAACAGAACTCTTCTTGGATCTGACGCCACTGTAATACAGGCAGCATTAAATAGTCGCGCTTTACTGATGTGCGAATGATTGCTTCGGGACAGCAAGACCATTGCTCGACCGAGAGTCATGTGGGTGTGCATTCTACGAAATCTTGTAAGCACCAGCACAAAGAAAAAGTGTCCAGCAAGAGCTACCTGACTGGCGGGCCAATCGATCGACACAACCAAAGTTTGTTACTGGGTCATCGTTCGAGCCGTCAGGCCTTCCGTCCACGTCACTCAGGCGCGAGTATGTTCACTTGTCCAGACAAAAAATTCAGCCGACTCCATTGTGCGCTGGTGGAATAGTGGTAACACGCTCGCTTCGCATGTCAGGTGAGCGGAGTTCAAACCCTGGCATATCATTGGGTATGCACTGCTGTTTAATGCCAATAGGAGCGAAACCCAAGTCTAAAGTCCCCCTGCTCTGGTGTGGACATGCCAGAGTGATTGCGCTAGGATAGGAAGACCATCGTCCAAACGGTAGTAGGAATTTCCTGTCTGGACACCTGCATAAGCACCAGTGGTCTAGGCAAAGATGATGTTTCCATTCGGATTTAGAAGGCCAAATCAACTTTCATAAGTCTGTATGACCTATAGCGTACGGGTGACCTCAGCTCATCTGACAACAGTCGAATTTACAATACTGTGATGCGCTCCACACTTTTTATAGGTTAGAAACCAGGCCTCTGCGCGCCGAGGACCTCAAAAGACTTTCAATGTTTGACCACCGATGTCTTCGGGGCATTACCCCAGTGTGCTGTGAACACGTATGCTGAATGATTTTCGAAAGAGATAACTCGCTCAAGATAGGTAAACTGATCGCACTGCATAAGTTACATGGGCTTGACCACGTGTTACGTGTCAAGTCGACAGATTCCTCAAAGGGTTCTTTTCGCACAACCATGTGAGGGTAGAAACGAGCCAGGTGAGGTCAAACGATGACTTAGCAGCATAGTATGAAAGCCATTACCAGCAAACTCAGTTGTGCTGGTCATTGCTGTCTCCATGGCTGGGAATTCCGAGTCGGGACACATCCAAGGGGTGAGACATTGCCAGATATGGCCCAGTCGCACTCTGAATGGCACTCTTGCATCCAAGTTGTTGCGTTCAATGCAGCATTTCTATCCTGACCGCCTTTTCAAGATCTCACTGACAACCCCGTAGATCATCTACCGCTTTCAATACCCTACCTTCCCAAATTACCTGCGAAGAAAATGTGGCAATTAGAACCACTGCACAGCAAGTATGCGGTTTTTTTGCGACTGATGGTGGGTTCAGAATTTTGTTCGGACCATTCAACACACTGTTATCAAGTGTACAGTTTGAAACTGCTCAGGAATGGAGATATGGAGCTAGGATAAATGGCTCTATTATATCAATCGTTGAATACCACTTGCGATTTAAATAGTGCCCTAGATTGACTAAAATGGTCCCAGAAAGAGGCATCTGTTAGATTATATACAAAACTGGCTCTTCAAGACTACGCATTTTGTAGTAGGACGAAACAGAATAAAGACTTGTTTAGATGGACCACTTTAAAATGCGATATACTTCGCTATGTGTGCGTTTCAAAACCATGACGTTCAATTGACAACCATAGTACTGTGGGCTAATGTGACAAAAAGAACACTTTACGGTACGGTTTCATCATATTTCTCCCAGAATATTCTAATAAATAGTTCTCCTCAAAGGCCGTAATCTCATGGATCAACAGGATGAACGTTTTTAAGAATTTTTTAACTTTGTTCAGAAGTTGCCATATGGTGGTTGATCAGGTAGCCGTTAATGTGTTTACAGAGCTTGTCAATTTGCCTGCAAACTTTCGGTCATCATTTGTGAGGTAATACCAGCCGTGTGCGGTTGCAACATATGGATTTGTACCATTCCTGTCCGCCATAATTGAAGCAAAGGGAACGTTGTAGGTCTTAGTTGTTAGAGGGTTTGTTTTAAGTGGAAGAAGAAAAAGAAAGATGCAACCAAAATCCATCGTCGACAGCTTTTCTTTAAATACAGAAACCTCATAGTAAAAGGGAAAAACGTACCGCTACTCATGGCTTCGTGAACAGCTTCAACTTCAAGGCTGAACAGTTCTTTGGTCTGTTGTGCGAAGTTATCGTTCATGGCACGTGCCAGCGATATAACATCATAATGTTTGGCTGGCTCGATTTTTTTGACTCGAACTTCTACAACGAGATCACGGGTATAGAATAAGCGAATTCTTGCCTCCAACTGTTGTTTGGTAAGTCCCAGGAATGATATTTCCATCCTTGTCTGTGGGAAAAATATTTCCATCCTTTTTCGAACTTCCAACAATCTGAAACAATAATCATTTTTGTTCGAGAGTACAACCTGTTTTCCTGATGCACCTTTTTGATTGCTCATATTTTTTTGACGATTTCTTTGCATATTGAAAATTCAGAGGTTGGCATTTGGTGGTATAGAAAGTTCTGAAGTTTGCTCAAATTTGTTAACGAAGTAAACTGTAACGTAATAAAAATCATCACCACTGTTCATTTCTTACGGAGTTGGTTGAAAGTAGTAAAATATGAGCTGAGGAAAATACATGCGAAAACTGTTCTCAGATCCTCATTTCGTTGATGCATGGAAGCATTTCTATCAGTACAACTTAAGAATAGGGAGGGGAGCATTGGGCAGTCATTCTTACTCTTAGAAAAATTTTTGCCTGACGTCTGTGTACCAACACTACTGATTCTATATATCTTTGTACTCCGCACCGACTGCGCTTGGGCGGTCACGGTTTAAACAGCAGTAATCAGCAGACATGTCTCAAACGCCGCTTACGTACGCATTCGGGAATTCTCGGAAATCGCTCCACAACTGAAAACATCATGGTCCGTCAGCCCTGGGACTTAGTCTCAACTCCAAAAAGTTACTTTAAGTAGCTTCAAGATGCTAACTTGCCTGGTTACAAAGGTTATGATGCACAACTGGTGCTGGGTGTAGTTAGGTGCTCAGTGACTATCTAACCAAGTGTATTACAAAGAGATTTGCTCACAAGTTACTTGGGAGCTCACAACCGCTGAATAGGTTTTGCTCTGAAACTGTGTTATCCCACACTGCATCCTCCATCGATTTACTTCTATAGAAGGGGGCACATCAAATAAATGACAGATTTCAGTTAGTGGTCTTCATCCGGCGAAATGGCCGTACTTTGGAGAGATGAAACAGCCATTCGGCTCTATACTTGCATCTTTCATACTTAGGCTGGAAGAGGAACATACCTTGTTCCAGAAAACGTGGTGTTACACCATTCAATGTATTAGAACTGAGAGAACGCAAAATTTATTGCAAAATGGTCAGAACGTTGCTTAAAAACACCCTGATTGTGACGGCTATGGCTCTCTCTGTTGTATCAACCAATGATTTCTCTTCCTCCGTATTTCTAGATCAGCATGCATCGCAGGTGTGTAAGGACGACGTAACCAGGTGCATCTGCCAAACCGATTGAGTAACTCAAATAAAGTACGACGGCTGACGTGCTGAATCTACATATTCGTCAGAAGCCTATAAACCACAGCGACATGGGAGTTGTCGCTTTTCTAAGGGGTCTTTTTGAGAGAGTGATCGTTTGGACCTAGACAGGTTTTACGGATGTACGTCCAATGAACCATGCGTGGTTCATTAAGAGCGGTCCACAGAATCCAATCTTGTGTCCACTAGAGACAGATGTCCTTATGGGATGGAAAATCATGGCCACTTTAGCAGCAAAATCACCAAACAAATTAACTGTATCCAACCCGCTTGACAGAATGATGATCAAGATAACCATATGACAGTCAATATTTACGATTCTGCAACCCACAACACAGTATCACTTGTTACCGAACTGAGCACAGGTGGTTTAACCTCTGCTATTACAGAATAGATAACTAGGTGTGGCAATTCCGTTGTTAAATTTACGAAGGTCAAAACTACAAGCACCTTAGCTGAAAAGTACCAGTTAACAAAAGAACCTTGAAAATAGTAAGATGTTTGTTGTCTACCAACCCCAAAGTTTCACTGAGTGGATCATATCTGAATTTCATTTGTTCCTTTTTCTCCACATGCTAATCCACTGCTTGTATCACCTGTTACCCCGAGGTCTACTAAGAATGGGCGAACACCGTTATCACCTCCACACATGCTGCACAAAACACTTGGGTTGTTAGCATTCTTCTGAATGCTCTCTGATCCCAGCGACAGAGGCATTACACTAACCATTAATTCATTGGGATCCTCATGAGTAAGATTACGCTCATCCCGGTGTTCCAGAAAACACACGACGGGGGTCATTGGAACAAACTGAATTCAAGATTGAACGTAAAAGGAATTAGGGACGTTCTACCAGTGAGCTACCGGAAATTACTTACTTGCCAAGCTTTACAGGGTCTGGATTTTAAGTCTTCAAAGTTTGAATCATGAATGACTGCATTCTTACACCTCTATCTGATTCAAAATTTTACGCTAACAAATTTAAACCACCTGATACCAGGCTCACCGTCCGTTCCCAGTAAGGGGCATGACGTCAGAACTGGCCTCCTAAAATTCGCCAGCTGCTTCTGAAGTTCCAACCCCTTTTGAAAAACTGACGGTCTATGTCACCATCAAAGATATGTTACAACTGCTGGCTTAAATAGTCCCAAAAGATTCATTCACCATTTGAGCCCACTGCCCTCTGTGCAATTTAGCTGATGACCGGAAAATGACATCCACACCGACATACTTTGAATGCACGTGCAAAGTGACAATCGGCCTTCCGAAGATGATGACGTCTTGTGCCATCTTTGTACGATCCACACATTACTTGACCCTTGCCTCACTGTCACTGATCTTTTTTATGCCCTCATCTACTGCACTTCGATAAAGCAATCCCATTCACAGGATTCTGCCGATCGTATCATTTTTGCCGGAGACTATGCCCTCATAGATGCGTTGTTCAAACAACGTTACCATATTCTCACCAGCGGTGTTCTTAATATATCTCTGTGCTTCATAACCCTGCTTCTTCCAACGTATTTGACGTCGGTACCACCGTCAAAGTTTGCAACTTCACAGGTCAAACAACGCATTGGTGTTCCATGCCGTTTTGCAGCCCATGATTTAAAGCAATGATCATCACTCTCCTCATGTTTTTACGCTTTGTTACGTGACGTTTCACTTCCCCCACAATTGCAAATCTCCGTGTAAAAATGGGGGATATGGTAACCTTGACCGACCTACTCTCCTGATAACCCAGTTGAAGTAGTCAACTCAAATTAAAGTAAGGTGCCGTACAACCTGCGTGTGACCATTGAGGGGTTGGAACACGGTCATCGAAAGCCATGCGACGACATTCATAGTAAAGGTACAAAAACGGGTGGTGGTACTTTTACACTTCCGGTCTTAGTTTTGTAACAAAAGTGAAAGTGTATAAGCATCTCGAACAACACTGAACACTGGACACTGCGTGGAATACCGACTCAAAGTCTTCGATAATTTGCAATCAATCCGTGGAACTTTCACCCAGTTAATAAAATCACCAGCAGCACTGCGTACAACAGAAAGGAGGGTTTTCATCTGCAAAGCTCGAAAGGAAGAAGATAAACATTTTCTGAGGACGCTGTATGTTCTCAAAGAAAACATTCAAAGACAAGGTGCCCACACACCCAAAACAACACGTGTGAGCACCACAGCGTAGTGAGACGCCATCAGTGGGAATGCCCCGAGGTCAATTGTGAACCCAGTACACAGCGGTAGGCAAACTTTATCTATGCCGTCCGGTTAGAACTCTACTGAGATTGGTTGAGTGCTGTATACTGTAGGGTGTATAACTAAGTGAAAAGATGGCCATCCGAACCGACACCAGGAAGACGCGAAAATTTCACTGCAGGTAAAGTGACTGTAACTGATTTCATTTTGCGCATCTATTTCATCGCCTATCCTCTTTGAGTTCTTTATCAACATTTGTTCGGAATGGAAATCAGGTGGTGGTTGCATTCTAGGGGAAAACGCAACTGCCAGCTTAGACCAAATTCAGCTGTTTTTCTTGCCCCTCCACTAACTTTCCATGTTGTAGAACACAAGTGTACAATGAAGACCGTGGAGAAGTTATAGCCGTATACATCTGCTACAACTAAATTCTATCATACCGGAGTGTTTCTGGGCGAGGAAGAATACCATTTTGGTGTAAACTTAACTTTGTCTATTTGAGGACTTGTGGTGATTTTTTGTATGACTGCGCCGATTTTGAGCCTACATATGTATCTTTACATGGATTGTTGCCTTTCAACTGTGAAAACGTTTAAAAGCTTGGTTTCTATGGAATAATCAGTAGACCTAACATTTATTAATTAACCATTTTATTAGGGACATAAAATCCTCCGTTGAAAAATCATGATTCCTATCCACCTTGGAATTCACTCTCAGTTGAAAAACACATCTATGAACCAGTTTTACTTTGCACAGGTCACATAAGCCAAGAAGCACGCCACTCCACCGCGGTGTGGCTAATCCCATCGATTACCCGGACGAGGATTTTCAGCAGCCTGGAATATTTTCCCAGAGCTACACGAAATGATGTAATTTCCTGCAAACAAATGGTTGCCATCCACAAGGCATGCCACCTACATTGACGACGGTGCTTCACGGCCTAATAATCACTGCACTTGTTCGGTAAATGTTTACTGTATCAGAGTAAGGAGCAATATCAGGTCGCGCCACAAGAGTTCAGTTGAAGAAAGTTCAGCTTACTCATGCTGCAGTCGAGCCTAAAACATGACATCCAGGTACTACATTCGGTCATTCCATCGCTTTACATTTCACCCTGTGCTTTCGGGGCTGTGGGCAAGTCTCTGTGACAGACGAAGCTTCTAATGGTTGAACATCACCTAAAATTACACTGAAAAGACAGATGAAGACGCTATAACGGAAAAAAGTGCAGAACCCGGGAACTGACACCCGACGTAGGGGAGCACGGCATACAATTATTCTATAAGTATTTCTTTGGTAAAATTGTTTTGAACAAGATATACTCAGCAGAAAAAGCACTCACTATTGCGTATACGTGTGTAAAAGCACAAACACCATACGCTTCAAAGGATTGCACTGACTGTAAAGGACGTGTCCAGAAAACTTGATAAGTGTGATTTCCCATCCAAGCAAATTACTGTGGTTTACATCTCAAAATTGTTATGCACATCTGTCGCGGAAACAAGCTCGCGTGTTCAGACGTGACTGTTTAGGTTCATTCAGCGTGGGCTGGTGGAATAGTGGTAGCACGCTTCCCTGGCATATCACGTGTTCAAGGCTCAAATATGGGCATGACCATGGGTATACATTGCGGACGAGGTCTAATGAGAGCGAAATTTCAGTTCACCGCTTTCACTACTTAGTGTAAACCTACTGGAATAATTGCAATAGGACAGGGGAATAATCGTTCAAACGGTTCAAACGTGAATCCTACAAATTAGTAAAATCAACGTTATGATGATACAAATCCAATGCGTACAACCTGGTGACGTTTGGCTTGAAAGTTTAGGTATAGTTGCACCAACGCACAGGTTCATCGGAAT